TTTCACCATTGCCTCACCACCAGTTACTTTCAGTGGGACAATGAATTCTACGAACAGAAAGATGGAGTAGCTATGGGGAGCCCTCTCAGCCCGGTCATAGCTAACTTCTACATGGAACACTTTGAAAAACAAGCCCTGGAAACAGCAACAAAAAGCCCACGATATGGTTCAGATATGTGGATGACACTTTCACCATTTGGAGCCATGGAGAAGAAGAACTCAACAGGTTCCTGGACCATCTTAACAGCATCCACCCAAACATCCAGTTCACCATGGAAAAAGAAAATGAAGGAAGACTGCCTTTTCTAGATGTCCTAGTCATCCGCAAACCAGATCAACAATTGGGTCACACCGTCTACAGAAAACCCACACACACAGATAGATATCTACATAAAAACTCCAACCATCACCCAAGTCAAAAAAGAAGCACCATTAAAGCCTTGGCAGACCGTGCAAAAAGAATCTGCGAACCCCACCTCCTCCAAGATGAACTGAACCACCTCAACTGGGCTCTCCAGGCCAATGGATACCCCACCTCAGATCAGCAAACCCCACCTCCTCCAAGATGAACTGAACCACCTCAACTGGGCTCTCCAGGCCAATGGATACTCCACCTCAGACATCAGAAGAGCTGCAAGACCAAGAACAAGCCATGAGAGTAAAGATGAAGATCCACCCAGAGGAAAAGTGTTCCTGCCAGACATCAAGGGAACCACTGATCGCATAGGGAAGCTGATGAGGAAACACAACATACAAACAATCTACAAACCCACCAAGAAAATCCAACAAATGCTACGTTCAGCAAAGGACAAGAGGGATCCTCTCACCTCTGCAGGAGTCTACCGTATACCATGCAGCTGTGGACAAGTCTACATAGGGACCACCAAACGTAGCGCCCAGACACGCATCAAGGAACATGAAAGGCACTGCAGACTACTTCAACCAGAGAAGTCAGCCATAGCAGAGCACCTGATGAACCAGCCTGGACACAGCATATTATTTGAGAACACAGAAATGCTGGACCACACCAACAACCACCATGTCAGACTACACAGAGAAGCCATTGAAATCCACAAGCATGTGGACAATTTCAACAGAAAGGAAGAGACCATGAAAATGAACAAAATCTGGCTACCAGTATTAAAAAACTCTAAAATTATAACAGCTAAACAACAGAGAAGAAAAAAATCAGGCACAGATTAACACCTCCCAGGAACAGATTTTCCCAGGCTCAGGCAGACCTTCAAATGCTAATGAAGGTGATCAGCTAAACATTCACACCTAACTGCAGCAGGGAAGAGCTCCTTGCCCCACCCCAGCCATTCCACAGATATATAAACCCATTGTCCTAATTCCAACAGACCTCACTACCTCTGAGGATGCTTGCCATAGATGCAGGCGAAACGTCAGGAGAAATGCCTCTAGAACATGGCTCTATAGCCCGAAAAAACCCACAAGAACCTAGTGATTCCAGCCGTGAAAGCCTTCGACAATACATTAGGGAAAATCCTTTTTTCTACCTAGGAGAATGCCTTTATAGGAATCTCTAGGTTTTCAGCAGGATTCTTTGGCCATTTTTTGGCAGAAGTTCACCACTGTAAAAATAATGCAGTTTGACAATATCTACAAAGTTTTTAGTCTTCTTTGCCAAAGAGTGTTGGTGCCTCATCAAACTACAATTGCCTGGCAGTTAAGATGGCCACCTTCCATGGTTAATGTAATGGCCATCCTGGCCTTGGCAATGTTCCAGAAATGGCAATCAATCATCTGCACAGTAAAATCGGTTTCTGGCAAATAGATTCTGAACCAACATATGTGTAGATGAGTCTCTTTTATGCATGTATTTATTTAACTGTATGGGACCATGGTAGTGCAGCGGGTTAACCGGTGACTGCAGGAAATCTGCAGTCTGAAGTGTCAGTAGTTTGAATCTGTGAGTCGGGGTGAGCTCCCAGCTGTCAGCCCTAGCTTCTGCCTACCTAGCAGTTCGAAAGCATGTAATGCAAATAGATCAATAGATACCGCCTCAGCGGGGAGGTAAAAGGGCGCCCCATGCAAACATGCTGGCAACACAATCGGAGAAGTTTATGGACAACAGGCTCCTCAGCATGGAAAAATGGAACAAGAGCAACTCCCCATGGCTGGAGTTGAGCATCACCTCCAGACGCTGGAAATGGAATGGGAAGGCCTTTACCTCTGTCTGTGTATTGTATGTCATTGTTTACTGTGTAAAAAGGCATTGAATGTTAGCCTTATATATGTAGAACTGTAATCCGCTCTAAGTCCTTCCAGGAAGATAAAGGGGAATATAAATAAAGTGTATTATTATTATTTTACTGACACAAAAACACAGTATGTCACAGCAAACGAGATCTATATGCTGGATTTCATATCACAAAGTCACAAGTTGAACACTTCCCAAGCATCTAGGACTGTCTGATATATTTTTGAATTATGCGTGCAGATCCAAGTAAAGTGGCCTTTTGCAGTTGACAGATCATTATTTTGTCAATGTTTATTGTTTCCAAACGCCGGCTGAGATCTTTTGGCATGATGCCCAGTGTGCCAATGACCACTGGGACCACCTGTACTGGTTTATGCCAGAGCCTTTGCAGTTCGATTTTGAGGTCCTGATAATGGCTGAGTTTTTTCTGTTGTGGGAGGCTTAACTGCTCCAAGGATGCTGAGAGCTGTGTTGGCGGTAGTGTAACTACCAGCAGGTCCAACCAAGCCAGAGAGGTCTCAGCTGAGGAGTGGAACCAAGAGCACCTAACCTATTAGCACTATGGAGAAGCAAACCAAAACAAAGTCTATAATGGCTCAGTCGACGCCCAGGATGCTGCTGATTCTGGACATCAATCGACAAGTGGGCTACAGAATCAAAATACAAATGAACAATCACAGAAGCAGCAGAAATATACAATGCCAGAAAACCGCACAATTATTATTATTATTATTATTATTATTATTATTATTATTATTATTATCATTATTATTATTTGAAACACAACAAGATGAGTCCACAGCAGACACTCTGCTGGCTGTTATAGTGGATCACACGTCGGACACTTCCCAAGTGTCTAGGACTGTGTGATGTATCGGTGAATAATGCATGCAGATCCCAGTAAGGTGGCCTTCTGAAGCTGGCAGATAGTAGTTTTGTCAGTGCCAATTGTGTTTAAGTGCAGGCCAAGGTCTTTAGGCACTGCACCCAGTGTGCCGATCACCACTGGGACCACCTTTACTGGCTTGTGCCAGAGTCTTTGCAGTTCGATCTTTAAATCCTCATATTGTGTCAGCTTTTCCAGTTCATTTGAACAGATCAAGCATTATTATTATTATTATTATTATTATTATTATTATTATTATTATTACTACTACTACTATTATTATTATTATTATTATTATTATTGACACAAAAGCACAGTATGTCACAGCAAACGAGATCTATATGCTGGATTTCGTATCACAAAATCACAAGTCGAACACTTCCCAAGTGTCTAGGACTGTGTGATGTATTTTCGAATGATGCGCACAGATACATTGCCCCTTAACCCCTGAAATAACGAGACAGACAACAAAGGTATGGATTCAAATTGGGCAACTTTTATTGAATGTTACCTATTTAACTTTACCTGAACTAAACTAAGTGTCAAGGAACTTGGTGGCAAGCTGAGGCAGCTTCCCCAGCTACTTAGTGTGTGATGTCTGTGTGCCCTGGATCCCCAACCGGGCAACCTGAAGGTAAAATTTTGGAGAAGCCTGTGTCCGATTATTGATATCAGCTTCTCTCTTTACTGGGCCAATTGATGTCCCCTCACCCATTTGTTGACTTCTAGGTGAGTGTTTGTTGTACCGTGCCCCCCACCCTTAATGGGTGCCATGTGTATACCTCCATGTCAGTGTTTTCCTGAACTATTTATGCTAACCTAGTTAAACCGAACCACCCCATCTAGCCCCTAATAACAGTATAGGGTAGGCGAAAAAACCCCCCAGAACATGAGAGGCAAAAAATTCCTACCCGGCTCCAACGGGCAACCAAATATACTGTCAATGGGCGGGAGTGGCGGGCGGAAAGTCGGACAAGACTGAAGGTAAGAGGCTGGCTCACGTGGTAAGCCAGCCCCCGCCCCTCTTCCAGGAGGTTCTAAATGGAACCTCCCATTCTCTACCTTCAGGGGGTGGGGCAAATCGCTCTCCCCACCAACTGCGTTGGTGTGGAGAGTCCCTTGCCCCTTAACCCCTGAAATAACGAGACAGACAACAAAGGTATGGATTCAAATTGGGCAACTTTTATTGAATGTTACCTATTTAACTTTACCTGAACTAAACTAAGTGTCAAGGAACTTGGTGGCAAGCTGAGGCAGCGTCCCCAGCTACTTAGTGTGATGTCTGTGTGCCCTGGATCCCCAACCGGGCAACCTGAAGGTAAAAGTCTGGAGAAGCCTGTGTCCGATTATTGATATCAGCTTCTCACTTTACTGGGCCAATTGATGTCCCCTCACCCATTTGTTGACTTCTAGGTGAGTGTTTGTTGTACAGTGCCCCCCACCCTTAATGGGTGCCATGTGTATACCTCCATGTCAGTGTTTTCCTGAACTATTTATGCCACAGATTGGGGGCAAATGTCCATTTCGCCCCCATCCCCCACCAAGCCCCCTAGAACTTCCTGAATGCCTAACTGCAAATCAGCTAAAAATTGTGCGTTACCCAAATCTGTTAAATGTACACCATCAGAACGGTAAAACTGTGTTTTGTCATGCGCGATGTCCTCATGTGAAATGTAAGACCCTCTGCCCCGTGCTAAAGCCGTGCGCATGGCCCGGTTCACACGCTTTCTGGCCTTCTCGAGCTTCCTGACGTCACCGCCTCCTGGCCACCGAAGGCGTGGAATGATGGCCGACCAAGCGATGTGAACCCGGGACCATGCCTGCCAGATCTCAAAATGTCGGCACGGGCTTGTAGATACAAGGCCCTGCCGCTAAGCAGGCCCAGATCATTACCTCCGATATGGAGCACCGGCCCAACGAAGGCCCCGAACACCCTTCCACTCAACCAATGCAGTGGAAGCGCACCCAGACGCTGGCCAAAGGACGAGTTCCCGGCGTATCTCTCCGCCCAGTGGACATAATTATGCCCACAACAAGGATTCTCCATCTATGCACCAGCCTGGCAGTCCCTGCAAAATAAACAACAAACAAACAAACGCCGGGCGAGCCTATCGCCAGTAAGTGTCCTATTTTCCCCCTGCCCATTGATTCAGGGATCACATCCGATTACATGGATCTCCAATTAGAGGATAATGTGGGAAACTGGGGACCCAACATATGAATATGCAAACCCACTGAAAAACCTTCCCATAGGTACTAAAACTGCCCCCTTCTGGGTACTGATCCAGCCAAACCTTCAACTGATTTAACTTAATTGGGCTGGGGCCCTTGTGAAACTGCGGCCTGACCTGAAGGTTTCTTAATGAATTGGGTGCCCCTATTATTACCTCTCGCGGCCCTCCCCTTGGGGCAATTTCGGGATGGATGGGACCCATAACAAATAGAGCACGAGTGCGAGTATCGACAGTCCTTCCGTGAACAGGCTCCCTGAGCCACAAATTCCCAGCATAAAGGCTTTTGGCCCTGGGACTGCAGCTGGGGAGCCCCCTGCCGAGAGGGCTGTCCCGCTGTGTTCTGAATAGTGTGCCCACTGTCCGCCTTCAAGGCAGAGGAAGCCCTAGATGGATTCATCACTTCAATCCAAATTTGATCATCGATCAAGTCCCAACGTTTTTCTGGGTGGCAAGCCGCTTCAGTTCTAAAACGCCTATCATACTCTAGCCAAGCGTTAGGAGGGCCGCTAACATAAGCCTTGTTAATAATATTCTGATACTGCCACAAAGCTGTAGCCCTTTCCGGGGCAGCATCAGAAAGCAGATTTGCGTACATCGTAAAACAAGGGAGCCAGTTCTCCCAATTCTGCTCAACCTTGCGTGTCTTAATTTTTTCCTTACTGTCCTCATCTAACTCATCCTTCTCCTTCTTATTCAGATCCCGAAAGTATAAGGAAAAGATATCGATATACTCATTTCTCAAAATCTTCTCCATTGTTTTGGTCGCCAGATGGGAACCCAAACCTGAAAGACTAACAGTAGGCGTCGCCTGTGGTGGCCATTTTGCTGTGCCCCAAAATTTGTTTGCCTCCCCAGTGCGAGCCGATTCCAAGGTGACAGTAGCAGGTTTAGCCGACTGAGCAGCGGCATCATCCTTCCTATCTCCAGCACCGGGTTCTGCCCCACCAGCAGACTGAACCCCAACTGCAGCATAAGACTGAACCCCTACGACGGGTTGAGCCCGCCCCTGATCCCAGGGCCATGTGAGTGAGGCTGAAGTGCTCGATGATGTGAGTGTGGTGGAAGTACCTGCTGGGACAGCCGTCACCAACTGCTCAATCCCTGCTACATCGACGGCAGCGACATTCGACCCCACCGACTGAGTGGACCCGGCCGCAGCACTGACCGTAGAGGCCAATGCCGCGGGCTGACTGGGTCCGGCCACAGCAGCCGCCGAGGAGCCAGACGAAGCCTGTACCGACGGAAGTGCTTCTGGGCTGGGGATGGTTTGCACAGCCGACAACACAGCAGAGCCCTCCGCAGCCCCTGGAACCGCCGGATGTTCAGGAAGCCGGACCGCCCTTTCTGCCCCCGCAGCTGAGGTCGACTCTATAATAGAAACCCGGGACAACAGAGACTTGAACAACTGTTTCTTACTTGCCCTGCGAGTAGGGCCTGAACCAGCCCCACCCAAACCAACCCCCCTTGTTTGCTCTATTTGGTTGACACGCTGAAGAAGGGCCTCCAAATCTTCCATAGACACCCCGTCTTCGTCCGACGACGACCCATCCTGGCGCAAAGGGCGCTTGTGACCCGTCTTCTCCGCAGGACCCTTTCCTTTAGGGCCCCCTCTGTTCTTCCTTGAAGGCATCCTAAAGAATGGAAGGGAGTAGAAGGCACCAATGAGAGCCAGCTCGGCACACCGTACACTATTGCCCCCGAAGCGGCCTCCCTTCAAGCCCCGAAAGCGGTGTGGCAGTACCCACCGCCCCATATGGCCATAGAATCAAAGAGTTGGAAGAGACACCACGCGCCATTCCACATCCCCCGACTATGCCGCCGTAGTATCATAGAATCAAAGAGTTGAAGGAAGCCCCATGTGCCAATACCTACTCCTCCCTTCACCGCCTGTGCATCCGCGTGTTCAAACAACAAGGAGGAGAATTTTGAGATTACCCATACCCTGCATAGCGCAATAGAATCAAAGAGTTAAAAGAGACACTCTGATAATTAACTGCACTACTACATAAGCACACATAAAATGGCATGGGTCCCAGTTTAAATGATGCATGCAGAGATCACAACCTTAAATTCCCTGCAGTTATGCAAGATTTTGTGATGCTTATTTTGGGATGCAACCTTGCAAAGATGAAGGCTTTCCCTGCCTCTCCCTTTGGACACTGCAGCATCCCGAGAACTTCTCATTGCATAGTAGAACAGTGGTATAACACAAACACCACTTAACTATGTGGATGTAGATTTATACTAGGGGTTAGAAGACTAACTGACCATATTCAAAGGGGTTCTCCTCACCCCTTCCTTCTTTTTTTTATTACATAATTTCTATTTCATACATACATACATACATATATATATATTATATATTAGTTATTATTTATCTATATATATATTTATTATTATTATTATTATTTATTATTATTATTTTATTTTATTTTATTTATTATTATTATTTATTTATTTATTTTTTATACTTTTCTTTTAACATTATAAACTAACACACTACCGACAAGGACCATCCCCAAAGGGAGTCGCCAAAGTTCAGGACATTCTCAAATTTTAACCAGCTTTCCCTTTGGCGGGCCAAAAAACAGACCTAGCCAAAATACAAAATGGCGGCAGCACGCCCAACGAAATGGCGGCCGCTGCTTAAGGAATTAAATGAATCCTCCCTGCACAAAGCGCGGCAGGCGAAAAAACAACCGCCGCCGCTAACGTGGAATCGGGGGCCCCGCCTTAATTACGGCACGGCCGGATCGAGGCCTCCGCTTCCCCTACGGCCAAACTGCGCCATGATAAAAATTAGATCGAACTACGCGGTCAAAGAAATCGCTGCTAACAAAATGGCGGCCAGTGACCCGAAACGGCACAAAATACAACAAAAATGGCGCCGAGCGCAACGGCGCCCGGCACCCCAAAGCGGAGGCCCCGCCCCCGCAACGGCGCCAGCCGCGATCACACAACGCGCGCCCGAGCAGCGATGCCCATACATTGGGCGCCCAGGAGCAGCAGGCAAACCTCGCGCTCCTTAAATTCGTGCCGCGCGCCGGCAAGCTCACGGCCTTTTGCCACGGTGCCAAACGCAGGCGCGCAGTGGGCGCCCAGGAGCAGCAAGCGAACAGCGCGCTCCTTAAAGACACGCCGCGCGCCGCTACTCTCGCGGCCTTTTCCCGCGGCGCCAAACACATAAGGGCAAATTGGAAGAACGGCGGCAGCGGCGGCCGCACTCCCAGGCGAGCCGCGCGCCGCTCGGCCCGCGACCTAGCCACCGGGAGGAAAAACGGCGAGGGAAATGGCGGCCGCCGATCCCTCGGCCGAAGCTCCTCGCCACCTCCAGAGGAGAAGGAGCAGCAGCCCCCTCCTTCCCTCACTGCTCCAAGACCGACCTGGAGCAACTCGGCGAGCGTCTTGTCTCTTGGAAAGTCGGACAAGACTGAAGGTAAGAGGCTGGCTCACGTGGTAAGCCAGCCCCCGCCCCTCTTCCAGGAGGTTCTAAATGGAACCTCCCATTCTCTACCTTCAGGGGGTGGGGCAAATCGCTCTCCCCACCAACTGCGTTGGTGTGGAGAGTCCCGTAAGGTGGCCTTTTGCAGTTGACAGATGATGATGATGATGATGATGATGATGATTATTGGAATCTCACATTATTCACAATCACATTAATTTAAAGCTTGACTTAAGTGTTTGCTTTTTTAAGTTGTGGACTGCAATGCAAAGTCTGTTTTTGTTCACTCCTGATGTCTTTATTATTTTGAAAAGAACCTAACATATTCCTGAAAATGGGCTGTTGGGATACAGCAGAACAAGGCCACTGCAGTGCAGCTTAAGAGAGGAAACTACAGGGTTTCAAGTTCCTCATTTTCTGAATATAAGATCAGACTTGCTTTAACAATGAAAACTTTCTTACCTATTAAAAATAGATCACAGTGCAATGAATTCAGAGAAAGAATCAGTGTAGTGGTGTGTGACTCCTCAATATCTTGTTAAAATATATGCCAGAAAATGGAATAAGAAATCAGCACCACACTGCTTTGCATAGTCTTTGAATTAAAATTTGATTTGCACTTTACTCCATTGATCTCTTCAGCATTTTATAATAATAAATGAGCCTATTTCCAGTCTGGTTTATGTAGAAGGGCAAAAGTAATCAGATTGACTGCTACCCTGATAACAGTAAAACACTACTTTGTACTTCTCACAGCTGTGTCAGGTATATGTATGAGTTTATGTTCAGATGGCAGAGGTGAGAACTATCCAACCTTCTGGCATACTATCTATGTTTGTTGTACGGCTGGGAATCACACTTCAACAACATCTGGATATACATTTTTTATCTCTGCAGCATGGGATTCAGGAGTGTTTCATTATAACAATATAATTAGCACTTAGTCTGGAAGTTGCTGTCAGATATTATTTCACACTTCAAAATGTAACCACCCTACTGCTATGGATGCTTTATAGACATGTCAGTTAAAGTGGTGTCAGACTGCATTAATTGTGCAATCTAGATGCACCCCTAGTCTACAAAGTTTCATTCTCCCAGTCTCTAAGATGCTGCAAGATCCCTTTGTAGTTAAGCTATTTAATCAGTGTTCAACTTTAATCAGTGTTCAACCAAGAAACCTGAAAAGACTTAGTTTATGGTGTCTGAAATCTAAAATGATATATATCCATAATATGTCAATGTACATATACATCTACAGTTGCCCCTACACATTTCTCTCTAGAACTATCTGGGTTTTCCAGTATGATCCCATGGTCAACTTCCTCCAGTTGTGTTGGAGCACCTAGAGACTTCTAGTGAGGACACTTCCATAGGAACCTCACAGTCCTCTAATACTATTCTATGGTCAACTTCCAGCTGAAGTTGACCATCCATCAAGCTGGAAGACCAGGCCATTCCTAGATATGTGTTCTCTTGAGTAAAAGGAAACTATTTATTTTCTTTTTTGTAGTTTCACATTTTTATGGGGTCCTATGTTCCTAATGCCAGGGCATATGGAGGACTGAGGCCCCTTCCATACAGCTGAATAAAATCCCACATTATCTGCTTTGAACTGGAATATAAGGCAGTATAGACTCAGATAACCCAGTTCAAAGCAGATACTGTGTGATTTTCTGCATTGATATTCTGGGTTTTTTGGCTGTGTGGAAGGGCCCTGACTGTACTTGTATTACATTAATTTGATATGAGTCCATTAATTTATTTATTTGGGGTTCTTGTACCCCGCCCTTCTCACCCCAAAGGGGACCCAGGGCGGCTTACAACAGCAAGGCACACTTAGATGCCTGCCACACAAACAATCATCACAAAAGTACAACAATTCAAATTACCCACAATTCAAGCCATTATCTCAATAAAATCTATAAAATCGATAAAAACAATAAGAACAATACAAACCTAATTCTTCCTCCTACCTATCAGTGTATACTAACTCAAAGATCTGTTTTTGATTCCACTTCGACAATCCTGCTGATCTTACACATCTGATTGTCTTATTTAGTTGTTCTAATTTAATTGCCTGGTTGCCCAAAGGCCTGGTTCCACAGCCATGTCTTCACCCTCCTCCTGAAGGAGAGGAGGGATGGTGATGTTCTGATTTCCCCCGGGAGTGAGTTCCACAGGTGAGGGGCCACCACTGAGAAGGCCCTGCTCCTCGTCCCCACCAACCTCACTTGTGATAGCAGTGGGGTCGAGAGCAGGGCCTCCCCAGATGATCTCAAACTCTGGGGTGGGACGTAGAGGGAGATGCGTTCAGACAGATACACTGGACCGGAACCGTACAGGGTTTTGTAGGTTAAAACCAGCACCTTGAATTGTGCTCGGAATTGAACCGGCAGCCAGTGGAGCTGGCATAGCAGGGGGGTGGTGTGCTCCCTGTATGTCGCTCCAGTGAGCAATCTGGCTGCCGCTCGCTGGACTAGTTGAAGTTTCCGAACAGTCTTCAAGGGCAACCCCACGTAGAGCGCGTTGCAGTAGTCTATTCGGGATGTAACAAGAGCATGGACCACCGTGGCCAGATCAGACTTCCCAAGGTACGGGCGCAACTGGTACACAAGTTTTAATTGCGCAAAAGCTCTCCCGGCCACAGCCGAGACCTGGGGTTCCAGGCTCAGCGGTGAGTCCAGGATCACTCCCAAGCTGCGAACCTGCATCTTCAGGGGGAGTGTAACCCCATCCAGCACAGGCTGTAACCCTATACCCTGTTCGGCCTTACGACTGACCAGTAGGAACTCTGTCTTGTCTGGATTCAATTTCAATTTGTTAGCTCTCATCCAGTCCGACACAGCAGCTAGACACAGATTCAAGGTCTGGACAGCCTCCTTGGTGACAGGTGGAAAGGAGTGACAGATCTGGACATCATCCGCATAGAGATAACACCGCAGTCCGAAACTCCGAATGATCTCCCCCAGCGGCTTCATGTAGATGTTAAACAACATTGGGGACAGAATAGATCCCTGAGGGACTCCACACGACAATGGCTGTGGAGCCGAACAGGTGTCACCCAGTAACACCTTCTGGGACCGTCCCTCAAGAAAGGACTGGAGCCACTGCAAGGCAGTACCCCCGAGTCCCATTTCTATGAGTCGTCCCAGAAGGATACCGTGACAGACGGTATCGAAGGCCGCTGAGAGGTCCAGCAGAACTAAAGGGACACACTCCCCCTGTCCAGTTCCCTGCACAGATCATTAAGTTGAATATCTTGAAGAGACATAATTTTACTAGCCCTTCCAGCAATGCAGATTAGATATATT